TGATCAGTAGCCAGGTTAAAATATTTTCTTCTTTTGCCCTCTCTAAAGGCACTGTGCTGCAGCCCATTTAAACCATTACTGCTCTGCTAACAGTCCCCTAAATGATTAATGTTCTCTGAAACTTCCAAAGGTTCGGTGGTTTTCCCTACACTAAGCTAAGAAGCAGAAAAATTGCGTATTTTACTGATACCTCTGTTATTAACCCCAGTTTTATTTTTCTAAACTACTGAATACAGCTTAACCAGAGACCTACAGTTGATGAACTGAGAGACAGAAAAATCCTGATTCGATTCAGTGATTATGTGGAGGTGGCAAAGGCACAGGACTACGACAGGAGAGCAGACAAACCATGGACACGACTCTCAGCAGCAGACAAGGTACTGCCAGAGCTAAAATCACACACAGCTGCTTTCCCCTTGCTTTGTCTGCAATGATACATCACATTCTGCAAAGACATTTAAGCTCTGGGACGTTTGATCTCTGTACAGTTTACCATTAGTTTCTATGCTGAGATCCCACTGATCAATGCATCCTGTCAGGATAAAAGGTGTTTTATAAAAATGCCTATTTAGTGCTGGAAGGGCTTCTACCCAGCCCACCCAAAAAGGTGGATAGAGTCATTGGGCTCCAACTCAAAGCCATTTCCAGCCAATAATAACATTTCTTCTCAGACTGGAAGTTTTGTCCCAGACATGCAAATATCCTCCACCGTGTTTCTAAACATGCAAAGATTTCCTCTCCTCTTTCCTGTGAATGCTCAAGGAGTCACTTGACCCACATACTCAGGAGAATAAACAAATACTCAGTTTGTGTCACATACCTGCCACTCACTGATTTCCATCCCAGCTGAACTGTCGCATTTAGGTCTTTGAGTAGTAAGAGCAGCCCAGCACAGTTCCAGCTGCTGGATAAGTTGGGAGGTTTCAGGGCTGCAGGAAGCAGGAGGAACAGGGTGCTGAGGTTTGCTGGCAAAACAGCAAACACAGGACTGTTACGTATGGCTTTGTTCTGAGATCAAACACTTCAGTAAAAAACCCAAATGGGTTCAGAGGACTCCTATGGAAAAGGCACAGAGCATTTGTCCTGCAGCAGCTGTTCTCCTGAGCAAAATGGTGAATCAACCACTCTATAGTAATCAATAAATAATGATTTTCTATTTTCCTCGTAGGTACTCAGCTTTTATTAAAATTAGGCTTTTCCTAGTTTCAATCATTGTTAACAAGGCAGGTTCAAGAGCAAAAAGAAAGGGACAGTTGAGCTGCATGTGCTGGTGGCTCCCATCAGGGAGTCGGGGGCAGGAGCTGGACTGGAAAAAGGATCAATTGCTTGGCAACTTCTGTTAATCTTTAATAAATTTGAACTGCAGTCTTATTAAATGTGAGACAGTAAGCCCCAGGGTGTTATTCTGTCAGAAGTGCTTGTAGACAGCAGTGGCCCTGTCAGCAATCAATGATGAATGAGGGGGGTTGTGTCACCAATCCATAGGGCCTAAATATTCTGTGTCTCTGCCAGCACAGTGGGCTCTGCTGTACCCAATACCTGCCATTTCTACTACAGAAAACTGTTCTGCCAGTCTGGCATTTTGCAATGCTCACGAATACACAATGTTTTTTCATATGTAATTATTTGTTTTTCTCTTTTCAATCCCCAGGCAGCGATTCGGAAGGAGCTGAATGAGTACAAAAGCAATGAAATGGAGGTACACGCATCCAGCAAACATTTGACAAGGTCAGTTTTCCATCTATTTATTTCCATTTCCTGCTAAAAACAGTCTCCTGAGTCTTGAATCTGTACATTTTATTCTTACATGGTGGATGTGGGAGAAGAATATGCAAAGGGAGCTTTGTTTTAAAGGAAAATGGAAGCATTTCTCTTCCTGTTCAGAATCCAGATTTTCTGATTTTGTTGGGACTTTTATTAGCATGTACCCAGCAGACCTTCCCCAGAGCATCCCTCAGCCAGCATTCCTTGCACCAAAGATCCAGAAAATAGAACAAAAAAATTAAATGTAGGGTAAAATGTACAAAACAAGTTTTTTTAAGTAGAAGAACGACTTAGTACACTGTATAAAAGTCTCTGAATTAAATGTACTTTAGTCTGCAACCTTATCACAAACACTGCAACTTCCCTGCTAAGAAATATAAAATTCTACCTGCAGTAACAAACACACCTAAAGCCCCTGGGTAATGCACTTGTTCTAATTGGATTTGTTCTAATGGATTCAGCCTGGGGATTTCAGGATCCCCTGTCAGGCCACTTGCTCTTGGAAGCAGTGCAACCCCCCAGGGAACGTCCTGGCACTCAGGTGAGGACTGGAGCAGGTCAGGAGAGGGAACAGGTTTGGAGTGTTGTCACTCTTGTCACTCTCTGTGCCACATTCCCAGGCATATTCCTGAACTCACAATGAATTCCAGCTTAACTGAGCTGGTCAATGGTCCAGGCAAACACACTCCAGCTGTAAATGCAAAGTACCATGTGATATTTATATAATTCCAGACCTTTCCTGCAATTTAAGGCCCTTTTAACATGACAGGACTCAGACTCAGCGTTTAGGGCAAAGATCATCACTGCACTGATGGAATGAAACATGGGAGGGGAAAAGAGGATGGCTGCAGTGTCAGCCTGAGAGTGACACCTACCTTCTCTAACTGAAGCTACCTGGGGAGTTTAGGTAGAGGATTATGATAGATTTGGAAATTTGTTCAGGATGTTAGGAATAAGCAGGCTTACAGTTTACTATTAGTGCTGTGAACTAGTTAAACTGGGCCCTGAGACCATCCCTGCACTACAGTCCTGGTGAAAATGAAGACTTATTAGAGATGCTAATATTCTTCAATACTGTTACTGTACCTTGAAACAGAATGAATAGTTTTGCGGGCTTTTTAAAATGTTGTTAATCTGACAGAGAATTGAACTATTTTTTGTTCTCTATTTCCAAGTGGTTTGACAATTGTCTCTCATCTCTCCCAGATTTCACAGGCCATAGAAATTTTCTTCTGAGAAGAATCTGTCTTTACTTTTTGATATTGCTGCTGAACATGCATCAGGGAATATCTGAGCCTTTCCCTCGAGTTCAGAGCAGGATCCCTCGGTGTTTGTGTGCAGGAAGGACTCTGAGCTGAGGTCTCTGCAGCACTTACGGACAGAGAGCCCAGGGCTGCCCCTCGCTCTGCAGGCAGGAGAGCCACGGCCTGGGACTGGGACGAGCTGCTGGCAAAGACTGAAGCAAAGCTACTTGGAAGAGCCTCCTCCTCTCCTTCCACACCTGTTTGGAACTGTTTTGCAGCCTGTCTCGGAAGAGGAGATTTTGTGCATGTACAGGCTTTACCATTCCAAGGCCTCTGACATAAACGGACATGACACACTGTCATCCAGTATTATGTTGACGAGACATTTTGAACTTAACCACAATTAGTTTGTAAAACACTTAAGTTCATGTTCTAAAAACTAATTTAATGTATTATAATTTCATTCTTTTTTATATAATGTCTAACAGAATCACAGCTGCAAGCATTTTTGATTCCTGTTACTTTTGTTCTTTAATTAAATGACTACTTATTGCAGGAAATGAACATGTTTCTTAAAGCTCCTTGTTTTCCCAGGGAGAGTTGGGAAGGGAAGAGATTCTAATTATTCTGCACCAGATCACTGCCCTTCACCATCAACGGAGAGTCTGCAAAAGGATGATCCCAACTAAGGTTTTTCCATCTCATGGAATAGCAGACCCTGATTGTCATGCTCCACTACTTGGGGCTCTGACCCTCTAAAGGTTGACAATGAAGTTCACTGTTATTCTCACTCAGAATGAGTAAAGTGGACAAGCACAGGTAGAAATGTAACAATGTACTTTGATGTTTGGCAAACAAATGATCTTAATGCTTTCTTGACAGTAAGAGAAAAAAAGTTACTAAGTGCTAATAAAGAAGCAAATAGAGCTGGTGGAGAAAAAATGTAAAGCCAGACATTCTAATAATGCCTGACATCGAGGAGGCATCTGAGAATTTACTCAAATTACTACTAAAAAAATACTTGGGAATAAAATCAAACCCAGGCAGCTGGAAAACACACCTGAGACAAGAACAAATGGTGAATACACTCCCAAACATTTCTCTGCAAGGCTCTTCAGTGCTATAACTTTAGGGAATCACTCAATGTTAACAAACCTTGAGAAAGGCATTCTTGGTCTTGCAGCTTCACTGAGTTGATCTCCATGGAGTGTGAAAACAATAAAATCCAGTATTGTAATTGGCTGCTCCAGACTACGACTGAGTTGCTGCAGGTGGGGAACAGTCAGCACACACAGTCAGGTCGGTGGGGATGGAATCACACCCCCAGGTTCTCCTGGAGAATGGGAGGTAAGAGCACTGCAGCACTTACATGTGAACTGAGGACTCCTGGCAGAGGAGCTGTCCAGGATGGGTGAGTGAGACTGGCTGGATTTGTTGGGGCTGGCTGTCACTTTGTCCTACAGCTTCATGTTTGATCTGTTTGTCACTTGAAAACTTGAATGACTCAACCACTTGATCCAAAGATGTATTTTTTATCTCTTTATTGCAATTGTTTAACTTGCTGGCTTTTCACAGAAACGTGTATCATTATAACTAGTCTTTTAACTTACTACTATATTTATCCATCATTTTAATTTGATTATTAATACAATAATATTAATTCTTAACAACAATATCATGACAGTCCAGATGCAATTTACAAAAACGCTGAAAACAGAAAGTTTCTTCAGCAGAAGCATTTTTTTGTGTGAGAAGAGCAGATGAGCCACAAACTAAACTTGGCTTATAGTCCATGAAAGTAACACTCCATACTTCCATTGCTAATAAATGCTGCATAGAACACATTAAAATGAGGTTGGAAAATAAAAGAAAGAGACAAATGTTTGAAGGGTAACTTAGAGCAGCTGTTTAAATGCCAAACAGCTTTGTCATGGATGAACTCCTTGTTGTTGGAGCTGTGCAGGGACAGCTTGGCTCCTTCCCCTGCTCTGTGTCCTTCCAGCACAGCCAGCCCAGCCTCTGCTCTGCTCCTGTGGGGACACAAGTTGTGACCACTGCAGAGCCACAGTGATCCCCCTGATCCCCTGGTGACACTCTGCTTGCTGCTGGCAAGTCTGGGGGGTGTTTGGACACTGCCTGCACTCCCTGGGCCAGGGAATGGGTTTGGGAACTAGGATGGCACCAGGGAAGGCAGGTGTGGCTCAGGGAGGCTCTCCTGGTACAGCTTCTTCCCAGTGGAAAAATCAAGCAGGCCTGCAGTGCCCAATTCCTGTCCTTAACTAAAAACAAGGCAGTTGTCTTATTTTTCCAACGTGCCCTCATTGTAAGAAATAATTTGGACCTTCCAGTGCACTTTTAAAATCCTTGTACAATCCAGAGAAAACTCTTGTCTCATGCAGATGAAATTCAATTAGACCGGTGGAAAGGAAAGTTTACCAGCTCAGGAGGTCCATCTAGTGGAGAACACACTGAGTACAGGCCAAAAAAACCCCAAACCACACAAAACCGGAGGCTCAGAAAGATGAGAAAAGCATCAGTACACTTACATAGATGGGATGAGTGGACCCCACTATTTACTAGCAATTTCAGTACAATCACTTCATTGTGAGGAAAAAAAAAAGACAGACAATATATATTTTTCTGGACTTGTTTAATACAATTATTTGCAACATAGTTCAAACACAAGTGTTTGGAGTGTTGTTTTCTCTTACAAACTCCTGCTGAAGTCAAATGCCACAAACAAGACTGAGATCAAACCAGGTGACTCGATCCCTAAATAATTTCTGAGTCCATTCTGGATCAGACAAAGTGGGTCTTCTGTACATACAGGCCCAAAACAAAGATTCAAAGTGAAATTCAATGGGATTTCTCTGGCAATCATTTAAATAACCTATACAAATTGTTTAAGACATATTTAAAAGTAGCACGTGCTAAAATGAAATTACACATTATATTTCAGCAGATTCAGTAAAATAATCCCAAATCTCACAGGTAAGTGGAGGAGTTTTATCCACAAAGATTTTAATATTATTAATGAAAATAGGGTTCCATTCCATTATAAAAGGGTGTTTGTATTCACCTTAAAGTTCAGGAAGGAATCTGAGAAACATCCCTTCAGAATTCAGTCTTTGATCGAAACAGGGTCTGCAATCCTCTGCGAACACTGCACAGCTCCTCTTCTTGCTGTGCAACAAACATCACACTTACCACATGCTTTTGAAAAAAGGAAGGGTTTATTTAACATATTGCACCTCTGGTGCACAGAATACGCTGCTTTTAACATATTAAATAGGATACTTTGGCACGTATTAAGAGTCAGAACCAAAGCAGTACGTTCATATCTACCCGTGGCTTTGGTCACCCAGGCAAGGTCTAAAGTGCAATGTCAGTGATCCTTGGATTTAAAATGTTAGTAATTTAGTGTTCAAACAGCATAAAATAAGTAAAAATGAGTGCAAGATGACTTTATTTACCATTTCTTTTAGAAGTTTCTCTTGCAGTCCTTTAATGTCTTCTTTCATCAGGTGCATCTGCAAGAAAAGATCCTGAATGCATCTCCTCTGCTCACAACTGCTGACACGTTTTCAAGCAAACAATTACATCCCCTAATGTTTTATAACCAAGAGATAGAGATGCACAGGTATCCACCTGCCTATGGGAAGGGATGCGTGTTTTAAATTTGTTCTTTCTGAGATAACATAAATATTCAGACACAAAATAAACAAAGCCACGGAATCCAGAATAAATCTTGGTAACTGCACACACCTTCTAGTGGGTGAAATCTCAGCCTAAAATAGTGAATGTTGTTAAATTAAGGGCATTTTATGAAAAGTAAAAAAAAAAGATATCATCAATACAATGCTAAGGATAAAGTCTTTCCTCAGAAAAAAAGTCAGTACTGGTATCTGTTGGTGCAATGGAAGAATTATTACAAGAGTGAAACACAAGTTCGTCCTATAAAACAAAAGTTCCTCATACCTCTGAAGTAAAAACACGTTCCTCATAGTCAACAGAATGGTAGATATTCTTTTCAAATGAAGTTTTAAGAACCTGAATTCTAAAGAAATAAAAGGCAGTTCAAACAGCTTTGCTATGTATGAACTTCCCACACAGACCACGAATAGGTCCCATTATTTGTAGTCTATTTGTACTTTAAATTGTGGATAAATGTCACTATCATTGCTGGAACAGTCCCTCAGGTATGTGGAGGAATTTAGAAGGAGAATCATTACATTTTTCCTGTAATGTAAGATTTTAATCTAATTTTCTCATCTCATCTACCATCTCTATTAATGGAAGAAACTGCATAAGGAATATCAGTTGGCCTGACTTGTACGTGAAAGGAGCAGCCCCCAAACCTGACCCCAGCACTGCCAGAGCCCACTGACCTCTGTTGCTCATTTTTCATGAAAGTACTCAAAGCACTAGTCTGTTTTTTCCAAAAGGTCTGGAATGAAAAAAAATATGAACAGCTGCTGATCAATAGGAACTGATTTTCCAAACCCAAACTGACCAGTATTTCAGATGAACAAAATAACCCCCAACCACAGGCTCAACAGTTACTCAGAATTTACACAGCCCCCACAGAAGCTGGAAAAACAGCCCAATAAAGTATTAGTAATAGCTTATTCTAGGAGGAAAATCATATAGGAATTAATTTAGTGAATATATGTAGGAAAAAACATGTAGTAACCAAGGAATTCTAAGAGCTTTGGCCCATCCCAACACTCAAATATTTCAACTTGAAGCAAAATGATAAAGGCTTTTAAAATCAAACATAATGATCTAAAGTTAAGTACTTGAACACGACATGAACAATCTATGGATCCCATAGGAATTAATTTTTCCCCACGAGCCACCAGTTAAAATACAAACCAAGAATTCTTTTTCCATGTTTTTCAGGGACTGAGAATCCTTTTCAAAATTCTCAAGTTCCTCAATGAGAGTAATATGAAATTTGTCCAACTGCCTGGTCCTATCAAAAAAACCCCACAGGTTACTTTTAGAAGGCATTCCTTGCACTTGAAGGATGTTTTAGAGTAACTCTGTCATTACTGACCTGCATTCATGGAGTTGGTGACTCATTGTTGTCAAATGCTGATGGGCAACTTTTAATGTTTGCTTATTAAAATGATCCATTTTCCGGGAGCGGTTCTGTGAGGGTGTTTTAACATTAAATTCAGATTATTTTCACCTTAGGGAAAAAACTGTAATCTTTTTAGTACAGAGGCTTAAAAGGAAATGTGAATTCTGTCATGCCCTGGCATTCTGTGCACTTGGCTTACAGGGACATGAAGATCTAACTGTGCTGGAAGCCAAGCAATCCCCACACACACACACGTGTACCCCCACACAACTGACACTGGAGAGGAAAGGTCTTGCCTCAATTTTCTTGCTAAATTCTTTTTGGAGCTTCTGACAGATGCTTAGAGTTGAACAACCAGGTTCCCAGAATTCCCCATCCAAAGTAGACAGCTCATTGACAGATCGAGTGGATATGCTCTCAGACACTGCAGAGGTACCAAAGCACAAGGTCAAATTCAGGATGAAAAAGCACCTGCTCAGAGTTAGCACAGCTTCTGTTATCTGTCAATTCATTTCACCATGAGACGGCTGAAACCATTTCTATTTTCATACAAACTCTCTGAATTTTTATATGGATACAATCTTTAAATATTCAGCATTTTTATTTCTTTTCTCTGACATGTGAAACGCTTTTCCTAGGATATTACTACATTTCCTTGTTAAAGCTTCAAGTTGTCACATTCTTTTAAACTCTTGCCCAACCATATTCAACTGTCACTCCATGACCAACCTCTGTAAGCAGCTGCATCATTTGTTTTAAATAATTTTTTGGGCTGTAAACTGATTCTTCTCCTTCCTTTCTTTTCCTCCTCTCTGCTGGTCTGTGCCTCGTCAGAGCTGCTCTCGGTGTCACTGTGGTACCTTCGTTTGAGGAAGGTCTGCACAGCTGGGCCTTTAATCAACATAAAAACAATTTGGGGATTATTTAGAACAATGAGAGGGGAGCATAAAGAGGATTTCAGTCACCTGTTTGATCCAAACTCTTGGAACGAGTGTCTTGGCTTTAAGACACGAGAATAATGTAAAACAACAACAAGATTTCCATGGAACACAGAACTCTGACTAATTAGCAAGTTTGGCATCATTTCCTGATAATACCATTGGAATTATCCCCAGTTTTTTTCCTAGTATCAGTGGGAATGTCTCTGTTTCTTTGGAGCACAACTAATTCTTCACTGTAGCTGCATTTTGGAGCCTAATTTTCAGCTTTCTTTTGGGACAGTTAAATGAGAGAAAACGAGAAAAGGGCTAGAAATAGAATAATGCTGAAAATATATAAAATACAACAATTTGGCCATATTTTTATGCCAAATAAAACATTTTTCTTAACCTTTATTGAGACATACCAAAAGCATTTTGCTTTCAATTAAATGTTTGTACCTGACTCATTTCTAGGGTCATAAGGTTCTTCAGTTGAAGACTGTGCTTTGCTCCCACTGGAGGCAGACAGTGGAGATGGTGGTTCACAACCCTAAAAGAAAAGCCTCTGATTTATTAGCTTCCAAATTACATCACTTTCAGAAGTCTACATCAAAAATGCACATTTATGAGGTGAAAAATAATTTATTTTGTATTGAAAGTCAACAGGAAAATATTTACTCCCTGTAATTTTTTAAAATATAAAAACATGATCTAGTTGGGACACAATTCTTTCATCGTGCCCATATGAAAAACAATAAACTGTAGCCATGTGATAAAACACAAAAATATGATATTTACCTCAAATATTTTAAAAACAACTACTAGAATTTTCCAAGCAGGCCCCAAGTAGACATTATATAGTTTTTAATATTGAGAGCTCCCCACTGTAAAGAGGTGAAATGGATAAGCTGGAGTTCATTTCTGCAGAGCAAAGAATGCATCAACTTACCTCTTTACTTTTAGTGACAGCTTTAGTGATATCTTGTAGTTTTCCCTTAACAGAAAGCGTGTCTGAAAAGCAATACTGGAAACTTGGATCTTCATTATTATTCCCTGTTTCTGGCACAGCTCCCTTTGCATTTTTTCCACTGTCAGTTTTATATGTGGTGAAGCTGAGCTACACATTAACCAAAAAAAACATCATTATTGACAGATGCCCCTCGAAAATCACCAGCTGGAAAGTAGCTCAGAGAGACAAAAAGCCAAGGATTTAGACCCATACCTCTTCTTTGCTTTTGGTGACAGCTTTAGTGGGATCTTTTGGTTTTCCTTTAGCAGGAAGCACGTCCGAAAAGCAACGCTGGAAACTTGAACCTTCGTTACTGTTACAGGTGTCCAACCCAGCTCCCTTGGAATTTTTGCCACTGACAGTTTTATATGTTGTTAAGCTGAGCTACACATCAACAACAACAACAAAAAAATCATTATTGAAGGGAGATGTAGAGAAACACAAGACATTGGCAGCTGAATGGAACAACTTCAGTTCAAAGGACTGTAGAGGAATATTACCGTTCTTACCAGAGATGCTTCGGTCAACACTGGGGAGAAACTTTTCCTTCCAAATGTTGACTTTGTAACTGTTGCCTCAGGAGACTGATTGTCAAGTATACTTTGAATGTTCTTATTCTGGGAACAGAAATTATCAGGAGAGATTCCTTTCTCAGAGTTTAACATTTCCCTGTTTTCTGGTGATGACTGCTGAAGATCAAGAGATCTTCCACTGGAAGTGTGCTCTGGGGTAACATTTCCTTCTGAGAGTCCTTCAGCACCTAAGAAACAATTCCTTCACTGTCAGAATGAGGAATGGAAGTTAAAAAAGGCAAGCCAAAGGCCCAAACTGCTCACTGTTCCAGCTCCAGGTATTTCCAAGTCTCCGATGTGTGAAATTTTATTTCCAAGTGCTGGCATAGGACTTGCCACACTTCCCTCTGCACTCTCCCACTATTTCAGCAGTTACCAGATTCATTCCAGCATTTACACATTGCTTTCCTAGATTATGCTGGTGACAAATAACTGCACCAACATCTGAAAGTACCAGTGGCACATTAATACACTTCCTTCAGTTACGTGGAACACCCAGAGTTAGGGGATTTCTCTTATTTAAAAGCATGAAATAAATGTAAAATTGAACTGCTGTGCTAATCCCAATTTAACCTCCAACTTTAGATCCTGCATGGCTGGAAATTCCACATCAAAACACCTACATCTCATTGTCTCCAGAGATGCAGGACTCTCAGCTGATGGCATCTCCACTTCCTTCTGTTCTGCAGGGTTCTTGGGTTTCTCAGGTGGTTTCTGCACACAGTTATCCCCTCTCCTTGGTTCCACAGGTACAACCTGGGGTACCTTTGGCTGCTTGTAATCCTTGATTGCCCCATTCATAAGTTTCTATTAAAACACAAATGTTACAGAAACAGTTTTGCAAACATGGGGAAGTGCACACAAAAGAGACAAAGAGCCTGTTATCTCTAAGATCAAGCAGAAGGAACATCATCATCAGGGCTTAAATCCATAAGGATATCGGGTGTTCCAATATCAACAAACACTGAATTTGTTAAACTGGACACATCAACTTCTATTCATTTCACCTTGCTCTTAAAATTCAGGATTACCAAGTACACAAACAGAGCAGAGTTAATTTTGAAAAATATGGCAGAAGTGGCTTTTTAATAATGAAGAGCAACTGCATACCTGCATTTTTGCTTTGGAGGTGCATGCTGGAATTTGCGCTTCACTCTCTGACTCAGAACTTGAAGGCTCTTTGTAATTTTTTGCTGCTGCTGCTCTTCGAGGTAGTTTCTTTCTGGAGGTTTGTTCTATCATTTCAGCAGTTCTTGAGTTCTGGTTTTTACATTTGTTTCCCTTTGGAAGAATAAAATCACCTTCAGTTTAGAAGACTGATTAATAAGTAAATATATAAGAAAAAATGGTAGATACTGTATTTCAAGTAATTAAACCAAGTTATTTCAAAACAGCTAAAAAAGTTTAAATTTACCAGAGCTCAGAGAGTTTAACCACCAGTCTACTAACAAAAGCATCAATGCATAATAATCATTTTAACTCACAGTGTTATGCCTGAAATATCACCCAAAATTCTACATAAAAAGAATACACACTATTTAACAAATGATTTGGAAATGAGTATGGAGGAATGTCATACATTTATAAAAAATTACTTTAAAAGAGTTTCTGTGGGGAGTGAAGAGATTTTGAATATATATTGCAATTCTAGGTGCAAATTTACATCTACCTTTTTCTTCTTTGCACTCTTGCCTTTTGGTTTCTCCATGTGGAAAGCAGCTTCAGGGGATTCATCTGCTGTTACAACACAGTCTGAAAAATCAATATAATGTTGAAATGTTTGCCATTAGGTTGAGCTGTAAAGAACAGAATCACTTTCATGCCCACAAACTTACTCAGTAACTGCTTTCAGCCCATTATTTTAAAAAGGCTTTTTTTTTTTTTAATTGACAACAACTTCTCCCTGTCCCATCCTCCAACCCTTTCCCACATTAAAATACAGGCTTTATGTAAATCGACCTTTATAAATGATTAGAACTGATTTGAAAATTCCTTGGAAACAAGACAACAGAAACATCTGATATCTGCAACAGAGCACATGACATGCTGTGCAGTTAACAACTAAGGACAAACTTCTTGCAGCACTCTTCAGAAATATGAAAGAAGTTTCTTACTTTTGCCTGTGCTTACTGGTTTCCCTAATTTTTTATTCCTACTGTAATCAACTATCTGGGCTTTAGGTTTGCTCTTGGATTCCTGGAGCCAACTAATCTCTGTCTTGCTGTCCTCCCCTCTGTTCTCTGTGTCTGTGTCACTAAACAGGTGCTTCTTGTCTTGGTTGTTTCTAGTCTAGAAAACCCAAAAAAGTTCTCAAGTTACTGATTTATTTTTATAGACATTCTGCTTCCATAACTGGTATTTAAAGGCAGGCAGACAGGCTATACTGAACCACAAAAATGTGAACCTTACTTTTTTTCTTCCTTTCACTTCGGTGCTGGATTTACTGACGTCTGCATTCCTTAAGCAGAAAAATAAAAACCACCTTTAATAACACATTTAAAAATATTTGCTGTAAAACTCTCTGCTATTCACGTGATACGTGGATTAAGGATTCAAACAAAGGTTTGAAAGCTTTTGCTTTCACATTGTTTTGGAAACCCTTGGTCACCTTTAAACCCTAAAGGATGGGCTTGTTTCCCAAGGATCAGTGAGAGCACACAGCAACAACACAGCCCTGTGCAGGCTGAACATGAACAGAAAAACACCCCCTCTAGCCAGGAGGTTCTATCCCTCCCTGAGGAGTTTTCCTCATGGACTACATTCTCTGGAATTCTGTCACAGGATGCTGGGGAGTGCGGACAGTACTACTGATAATCAGCAGGCTGGGACACAACAGAACATCCTACCCTTTTCTGGTTGTCTCTGTGTGAACACTCAGTTGAGTAACATGCAATTCTTGGACCTGAAAATGCAAATAAATAAGGAACAACAAACTGAGGTTTTCATTTGTTATACAATCTGAGCAAAATTCCACAGGCCACCAGACAGCAACAGCTAAGGGCTCCTTCTCAGTTATTACACTTAGTAATTAATGGTGATTAATTTCTATCTTACAACTCATTTAGCAGAACGGATAGTTCAAACCAGCTGGAACTGACTGAAGTTTTCAGGATCTCAAACCAATCCCCCCACTTGCTTCACCACCTTCCCCAAATCAGAAGGCTCCTCTGAGCTTAAGAAGCAAAACCATTGTTTGTTGTCTTCTGTTTTTATCATCATTACATTTTCTTTTTACTCAAACATCTGGGCAAAGATGTTTTTTAAATGGGAATTGGAAGGATGGGAATAACATTTCTGGGATAATGGGATATTTTAAAATAATGATACTCCCTAGCAAACCATTTAATTCTTAATTCAGGAAAAAGTTCCTAACAGCTTGAGGTGGCCAGAACCTTAGGACAGTTATACATTTACTCTTCATGCATCTGAGAGGGCTGGAGGTATTTCCATGGCAAACTTCTTTCCCCACTGAGTTCACTGAGATAATCTGAATATTGAACTATCCTAGCAAACAAAATTTGACTGATTTCCTTCATATTCTAATCATAAAATACAGGATTCAGAGATATTCTTACTCCAAGCTTTATTGTAGGCTCATCAAACCCACTGATGTTAAAGTTGTAGACATCATCCCTGTCAAACAGACACAGAGATCAGTGTTGTGACTGAATTAACAAACATTTCACAGAGTCAGGAATGGGAAATCAAAAACTGTGCTTGAAAATGTTGAACTACTTACATGATCTGACCAGCAGTTACATTAAGAAAAGAAGTGGTTTTCAGGATTCTGTCCTGAACTTCTTCCTATACAGAAATGAAAAGGCAAATTTGGACTATGCATTCAGAGCCACTGTCACCTCAAAAAGCAAGTTCATTATGAAGACAATTGTGTGGATTAGCAACAAAGGGACAAGAGCTGAGAGGAACTACATCTTTATCTTTTAAGGATATCAACAAAACCTCGGAATATTTTTGCCCCCCAAACATTATGGCTCATTTCTGTGTCCTGGCTCTATCCCCTCTAAGGATTCCATAATCTCATTTATGATACTATTTTTACTCTAAAATTGATGTGTATAAAAGGCAGAGATTAAATATACAATATGCCAATAGAAATTACTTTGGGTTTCACTAGCTGACAGTTACCAGTAAAAATTACTGTTCCACACAGGTATTTTAAATATATGCAGTCAATACAAAATTAACAACTTCAGATACTTGACATTCACTGGTGTTTGTGAAGTGTCCCTTTACACCTACTGATTCCCACCATGTTTGTACACACAGCTGCCACGAAAAGCAATTTGAACAAAAGCAATAATATGTTACCTTGGAGACCCAGGATTTATTTAAATGTGTCCTAAAAATAAACACACATTTGGTTAAATGCTAATTGGAATATATGCATTACAACAGCGCCTACAGAAATAAAAGCCTTATCAAACCCAGCAAACCCATTTGTGCTTTTAAACACAACATCAATTAAAAGATTCAAAGGATTACATTAAATTAAAGGATTACACCCATCATCATCCATCAGCACATCACAGACACAGCAACAGAGGATCAGCACAGCAGTGAACAGTTCCCATCCTACCTGTTAAAACTCAAGGAGTCTCTTGCTTTGCTCTTCTCAGCGCTCTTATCTCTGTATCTGTCACTGATTTTACTAATCAGTGATTTGGCTGCATCTGTGATTTCTTTAGACTTTGGTTTCTATAAAAACAGTTGAAGACTTCACTTTGAACCCATCCAACAGAAGAACCCATCCAAAGCTGCAAACAGAACTTCAGGTTCCTAAAAAAAACCCCTAAACTACACTAAATGTCTTCCAGATGTACTAAATCCCATTTCCTTGCAAACCATTTCCCCTTGCATTGCCCAAACAGTGAGCAAGGAAACATGAGTTTAGCAGGTGTTTTCTTTGAAATGTTGAGGGTTTGGGAACATTCAAAAGTGAGCAAAGAAGTGCATGAGAAGTACAAGTTGGTGCTTATTTAAGAATTATTTTGAAAATGAAATTCAGAGCAAACTAATGTTGAACACGTCACTGAGAAAAGCAGAAAGTGAAGGTGTCATTATTTCTTCATTGGTATTAGTGGAAAATCAATTGTGACTAAATGACAGTAAACCCACAAATTTTGAAACACTGAAAATTTGACAGTTCTCTTAATTGCAAGTCAAAGACAGGAAGGTAAGAAATTCTCACAGGCTTTGATGGTTTTGGGTTTGCAGCCTCCTTTCTGAGGAGAACTTCGGGTTCCTCTTTTGAAAGCTCAGAAAGCAAAGATGTGTTGGCCACTCTGGCTGAAAAGAGGTTTTAAACAATGTTTCAGCAGTAGTTTATATATTTCCCTACTGTATTTAACAGTTTCTGTTCCAAAATGATTAAGACTCTGACTGCCCACTTGGTACGGTACCAATTTCATTTTCTTGCTTCTTTTATTTTTGTTTAATTTGTTTATCTGGAGAGGTACTTCAGAAAGTTAAGAAATGCTTTTTGTTTCACAACTCAGTCCCTAACAATAGAAAGGAAAACAAAGCCCAGCTGCGAGGACACAGTTTATGTGATCTGTTGTGAAGAGTAACAATTCACCACGTGTGAACATCACCTGGATGGGACTGACGCGCCACTGATGGATTTGGCTTTTTCTTGTCCCCAGTGCTCCCACTCTTCTCAGGAACAGGACATGTGGGTTTTTTCCACGTTTCAGTTTTATCAAAAGAACTCTCCAGAAGTCCAGGCAGCCTGAAGGACAACACCACCTTACTGTCAGTGAATTGCAGAAAATTACTTTTTATTCTAATAAACGTGGGTCATAAAATAGGAAAATAATGGAATCTTATAGATATCAAAGTATTTTACATGGCAACATTAATTTCAGTTCTGTTAATACTTGAAAATACTCCCTTCAAAGTGAGGGACAACACTGAATTCTTTTCTAATAACTTACAAAGGTTTGCTGCTTTTTCCAACGGGCTGAGAATCAGGAACGATATCAAACACTTCATCTAAATGAGACATTAACTTGGTGTCAATCATCATGGCAAAAGAAATGGATGAAATTAAAATTAGATTAAAAGTAAGGATTAACAGTGCTTGTAAAATTACTTGCCTAAAGTTTGCTCTTCTGTAGCCTCTTGCATAAGTTTGAAAACTTCTTCAGCACGTTTTTGCTACAGTGGAATAACACCCAAAAGGAAATATTAGCATAGAACTATAAACAGTATAACCTCATAAACTTTACCTAAGAAAACAATCCTGCATAACCCCTGTGAGATTCTCCTATTGCACACAAAGGAAGAACTGAGGGTCCAGTAAAAGCAAGTTAATTCTGGAGTCAGAACTGATGAGTGAATGCAAATTTTAGCTAATTAAGAGTTCATTCTGACCTTGGACATATTAAACCTGAAATCCAGAGGACAAGAAAACATTATGCAATAAAGTAAAACACGCTATTTTCTACACTACAGTTGTTGCCTCTAGCTCTTTAAAACATGAATTAGGAACAAATTAGAATAGAAATTAGTGTTATTCTAAGGAAAAGACTTAGCTACAGATGACATGCATACTCCAGAAGGGTCCTGATAGAAAATCTTTGCTCTGGTCTCATTTGTTGCACTGCTGTCAGACCTCTTAGTGGAGCTCATCATTTCCAGGGGCAATTTAAATCTCCCTTTAAAAGGAGTGGCTGGAACAAAGCAGAGACACGTTGGAATTCCACCACTGCTTCCATTGCAATTACTGGGCTGTCTGGGACATCAGTAGGAAGAGATTTTGCCCACGACCACAACAAGAGTTGGTTAGTATTGATAACAACCCATCATGGCCCTTTGATATTTCTCTTGATTCCAACTTTGTTATGTGGGGATGAATAGCCCACAGACTGTGGGGGTCTGGAGGCAAAAGCAAAGCTCTTACAGGCTGGCTCAGGCAGAAAACAGTTGGTCACTCTAAATTTAAAGATTTCCCTGGAAGACATTTTTGCTGAGCAGCTGCCTGAGAGCTGCAGGACAAATGGCAGGTGAATCTCATTTACAGGGCACTCCTGTGCAGCCACTGTCCCAGGGTCACATCTGTGGACCAGGACCAAGTTGGCCTCGTTTAAAAACTGCAAGTTTAAAGCATCTGCTCAGGAGAGTTTACAAATTGTCCTTTTCATTTCCAGCTCTGACAAGGAGCACAGATCATGCCTGAGTTTCAAAGACAAGTCAGAGCATGTTTTTACCCTGCAAGCACTTGCAAACTCACATGTGCTGACAAAGCTCAGCGGGCTCCTTGTGGAAGTTCTTGTAGTTCCAGGCACAAGCACAGAGGCTTCAGACACTTTCCTTGTGCGAGAGGGAGTGATCTGGAGGAACAGAAGGAACTTGACCATAATACACTGATTTAAGGATGACAGCACAAGGATTTAGGAAATCTATTTCCAAGAGTCTCTTGACACTTTCCATTCCTGGAATGCCAGTTGCTGTTGCTGCAGATATCAATGCCACAGGACCTTCAGGCAGTTCCCTTTTTGAAGAAAGCTCCCCAAAACACCTGAATTGTATAATAGTTGACCTGAGTATTTTTAAACTGAGGTCACTGATTGTTGTTTTCTAAATTAATTCAATGAATTATGAGCAAATCCTGTCCCTTGTTCACAGAGGGATTCCCTGGAGACTCTGCCAAGGTGTCACTTAAGCTCCAAACTAAACAGAAGCAGGTTTACTAAAGCCCTTACACCAGGAAGACAATGTCCCATCTTTCTCCTCTCCCCAGGATTCTCCAGCCTTGACTTCTGCAAACCAGGAGATCCGAGCATGTCTTCAAAACATTTCTCTTTAGAGCAGAAAGTCCCAATCAAACCCTGTGTTAACTGTATTCCAAATGTCAAATAAGAAGAGGTTTACATTATTAAATGCTATAAATATTTAGTGACTTGTATTTTTTTCTCTACTCTTTTTGTTTTGACAACCCTACTTACCTTGGAGGATTCCCCTCTGCATTTTTCTTGACTGTTACTTTTATTCTGAGTCCTCAAACTTCCAGGAAGTTGCTGACTTTTCTTTTTACTGGGTTTCTCCTCCTCTTCAGGTTTTTCTTTCAAACCTGGTGACAACTGGCTTTCTGGGACCGTAACCTATATAATATTTTCATTTTATTTAATGGCATACAATATTTGGGTTTTATGGTTTATATTTATACAAACACACAGAGCAACTGATTATAAATCAGCAAATTATCAGACTAAAGACACAAACCCGTGAACTAAAATACCTGGGAGCCACTCTCATCAAAGAGGACGTGTACAGCTGTTTTGGCAATTGATGCAGTTTGCTTCTTGCTCACATCCTACAAAGGGAGGAATCAAAACAGGCACTTTGCTCTTGGGTCAAAAAAGGAACAGAAAATATTTAAATGAAAGATCACAAGTGTCTGAAATCAGATTAGAGAGGTAAAGAAATGTTACAAAGCAGATCCATTCTTCATCAATTCCTCAGTCAGACTGTAGGACAAAGTAGTTGTTCTAAGTTGTTATATAAGGCTTGCTAACAATTTTTAAACCACATTTCTTTTGAATCAATTAAAAACTATCCCAAAAGGTGTTTCAGTCTTACCTTACATTTGCTAAACCCATAAATCTTTCTGATTACGTCTCTGATTTCCAAGATGGAATTAAAATACAAAGAAAATTTCTCTCCTTCCAGATTACCCACATTCATTGGGCTTTTGAGATCTATTGTTAATAATTTCTTTGAGTCTTTCTCTGGGCAAAAACAAAATTTGAAAAGTTCATTACAATTTAACAGCCTCTCACATAATGTTTGGAAACACATGACACTTATTTTCAGTACAGCTACTAAGAGGTATATTTTAATTCACTCTACAATAAACGTTAATAGTGAAACAATGCAAGATTCAATCTTTTAGAAATAATTTTTCTTTCTATTATTCCATAGAATTTTCTTTGAGGGTTATTTACTATAGCTGCAAACAAATTATAGGTATTTACTATTCTAACTGGTTTAAAAGGAATATTAGTAACTGTCATTGTCTTTTCCCTTATTTTGTATTGAAATAACTAGAAGACATTATTTCTAAATTATTTTCATAAAAGCACACCTGCATATCCAAAATGTAAATGTGACTGCAATGCAATTTTATCCCTTATAAAACCAGTTGCTGTATTATTTTAAGTGAGAATTTTGCTTTGCTGAGAATTGAGCCAGTAATTCAGGATTAACTGATGTGAGAATCCAAGTCAGTGTGCACCAAAAGGTCACATTTTTGAGTTCAAATACCTTCAAGGCTGTACATGTTCACCTCTTCTTCTGGTATGATCACTGTTTCCCACTGGTGACCCTTATATGAAAAATAGATTTTTAAAGATAGAAAATTCTTATTTTGCAACTAAATGAAATGCAGGGATCAAAAAGTCATTCACTGAGGACAGATTTGCAACTTCTTAAATCTCTTTTAGGAAGAGTGACAAGGAAAAAATGCTTCACCACTGCACATGTAAACTGCTTCCAAACAGCATTAGAAAATCATTACTTTGAAATTCTGTGATCTAAATATCTACACCAAATCTGGATATTTCCCCCCCTACACACTGGAATAAGTTCAACATGTTGATGTGAAGAAACAAATCTGATACACTGGAAAGAATATGGATCTACTGCCTCAGTCTGAGAGACAAAAATCACTTACTGCATCATCTGCTGCCACATAGAAAGAGATACTTTTGCTACCAACATTGAAATCAATCCAGAATTCCTCCAGATTTTCATCCATTGGGATCTGGAGCTAAAAGAAAAAGATAAAATAACAAGGGCAGAGAGCACTGACTTACACCAGCTAACAAGCTTTGTGTTGGCCTCACAAACTGCCAGTACATGCCCATCTGAATATTTCTGAAAAAACAAAATAATTTTCTTACCTTATCCCTATTTTTTATTAAAATAGGAGGCAGAGAACCTTACCTCACATTTATCAAGAGCTGCTGATAAACATGGAAATGTAAAAACCCTGTAAGAAAAGGATTTTTTTTTCAAGTATTCTGCAATGCTGTAAACAAACTCTGCATATGTGAACTTAGCAACTGGGTTGTGTTTTCACAAACTCGTGTGCTTTAGAGACTAGGAGATCCCAGCAATCAAAAATCACTTTTTCCCCAAGGAGGTAATGTGAATTTTAATCATAAAATGCATAATCAACATAAAATGCAAAAAAAAAGGAAACTTTATTAACTTTAAAAAAATCAGTTTTACCTTCTTTTGTCTCCAAGCATGCCATTCACCTGGTTAAGAAACTTCCTGCAATCCTATAAAACACAGAGATTTCTTAAAGGTTTGTAAAATGGAAGTTTACCCCCACCCCCAGGGAATATTTTTTTCCCATGACTTACTGTTTCAAACTCGGAATCTTTAATTCCTTTAAATGCATTGGACACAAACTCCATGGAAAACCACTGGGAGGCCAGTTCTCCTCTTTGCTTCTCCGAGATCATCCTGCACAGAGCCTCTGTGATGGCCACCTGCATGTCATAGTCTGCAGCAAAAGGAGATTTAAAGCCACTCTTGAGGTGAAACGGCTCTACAACTAATTTTTAGGACACCTAATATTAAATTAAGTCCCATGCTCACCTCCAGCATCCAAAATTCTCCTCCCCATTTCACTCCTGCCAAACAAGGGAATGTTTTGTCAGAACGGGAGAGCAGCACAAAGCACAGGAAAGGTTTAATTACAAACTTTCAATGGATGGGACAGAACTCTGCTTCCACCAGCCTGTGAGACTTAAAAAGGGCTAAGTCTGCAGTGCCAGGGATGTGGAAGAACTGCTGCGGAAAATCACCTGATATGTATAATTTTTATTCTATTTGCTTTTTCCCAGTGTGAACAGCTTGTCTTTCCAGTGACTGACTCACACATTCTTATAAAATAGAGTTTAATTGCTTTATGAAACTGGGAGAAGGAAAAACCTGACCCAGATTGGGAAAGAGGAAAATTCCTGGAGAATAACCCAGAATATCTGCCCACAGCCACTACCTTGGACAGCTCAATAGCAAATGCAAAATAAATTAAACAGGGACCAATCTGCACAAACCATAAACAGCCTCAGTAAAAACTGCCCTCCCAGCTCTGCAACTGATGTGATGATACAAAAATCATACTGAAGATTATTTACATGACAAGCAACATCTCCTTTGTAGAAAATAACTTTTTCTTGGCCTCTCGAGGTACGTTGTCAAGCATTAAATTCAGTTTTCTTACTACCTGAGTGGAAAAAAGGGAGTAAGAGGAAATATAAAGTAAGTTTGTTATTCTTATTTTGAGCCCTTGTGATATATTTGAGAACACTGAAGAAAGCAAAAGGCAAAATGCTTAAATAACAATGAGTTCTATCTGACCTTAAGGGTGCTTATCTTAATTTAACAACCTCAATTTTAATAAAGCACATTAGTTTTAACATGAACATCAGTTCTTAAAGGGTTATGTTTGTTATTTGCAGGTTTAAATATAGAAAAAAAATCTTTCAAAGCTGGAGTTCTGTCTACAGTTGATTGCTGAGCTCAAATGTCTCTTAAATCAGCATTAAAAAGCCTTCCCTTTGGGGATGCAGCCTTGACACAAGACTTTTTTTGACTTTATCTTCAGAGGGAAAAAAAACTGACACTGTTTTTGTAGCATCTGTACAGTTAAATAAATGTCTTCACAAGTCTGTTAACACAGTGACCAGAGAACTGTTGCTTAGAAAGAAGAATGTTTACCTCCTGCTGAACATAAATACTGATTCTCACATCAGTGATGAGGGAACATGTCCTCAGAACGAAGTTTTCCAGTATTTGCATTTTACCTGACAAACAGAAGAACAAATCAAAGAGTTGAAAAAAATAAATCAGAAAGTTGCCCCCTCATAAACATTTGGGAGAAGATTCATTTTCACTTAGAAATAAAATACAGTGTGTCTTTCTCTCCATACAGGATTACTGATATTTGAGAATAAGCATCTTAAGCATCACGGTTAAATGTAAGACAGAATATTCAATTTATAGTAAATATGGTTCTGCACAACCCCTCTGGGCAGGAGCTCATGAATTTTAAAATACACTTGGTCAATCCTATAATTCTGAGATACAATTCAGGTGCTGGAATTTGTCTTCCCAGAGCCAAGGAGATAAATCTTTCACTTTGATCATGACCCCATGAGGGTCTGGAGTGACTTCCCAGCCAGTGCCACACTGGAAGGGTGTGATATCCCTGATGCCAAGGTCAGCACGGAAGGATCACTGAGCTGTGACATCAGCTTGGAAAACACCTTTTTTTAGGAACAACTCGGTGCAGTTGCCACCTCTGAGAGCATCCTGCTTTCTTATTACCGCCTAAGAAAGTCACAAGGAAATCTGTCAGTAGAGAAACCTCCAACTGAACAATCCAAGTCAGGGCTGACGTTTCCCACATGAAATGGGGTCCTTTGGGCACAGTTAATCAGCTGAAAAATGGTGGTATATTCATATTAGATTAAAGAACTGGCACCACCCTCATTGCACATGTTCTCCTCAGAAATACTTGCCTAAAGTTGCCTCCAAGTAAAGTATAAATGATTTTAACACTGATAAAGTGTCCTGGAAGAGACATTTTAAACCCTCAATATGCATTGCACATGTTTTTTAAGCTCACCTTCAGGTCTGCTCTCACACACAGCCTGCAGCAAGAAACAAAACAAAACATCATTTTGATACAGCAAATATTACAGCAGAAAAATTAGGCAAAATGCACCTGAAGGAAGTAATCAAAATGCATTTAGGACTTTGAAATGATTTCATCCTTAATAAAGAATATACGAAATTATTTCTACTACCAAGTGTGGTTTCCCAAAATTATATGTCAGTTAAATGAGATTATTTCACCAATAACAAAAAAATTTATGAAAAGAAGCAAACCCACAGATCTTATAAATATGGGGCCCTGGATTAGTAAACCAATAATTTATGTAATCAAAATTTGATCAAGAAGAAATTTTTTTTGGTTCACTGAACACAATGTTGTGGATTTTTTAAACTTTATTTCATGATGCCAAACATGAACGGAAAACAAGTATAAATACAGCAAACTGTTCATCCCCAAAGACTTATAATCTATTTCAAAAATCCCTATAACATGAACTTTAGAGAAATATTAAATAGAAACACGTTTGAAAGTCCTTTTCTAACTAGTAATTTTGTTACTAGTAAAACTAGTAACAACTATTATGACAAACTTTATTATCAATATATTTTTACCAGCAGCACATTGAAGAAATCTTCAACCAGGCTTGTAAGCATTTCATTCTTTTCATTTCCTCTGAGGATCAAAATTCCTTTTAACTTTTCAAACCAATTGACCATGTAAAGGAAAAAGAAAAGTGAAACCATTTTAGTAGCCTGGAAAAGGACAATAGTTTGTATTATCCTTCAGTGAAAGTATACAAAGATTAAAACAACCACAGCATTACCAGTCTGCTGAGCACGTGTCAGCCTCAGACCAAAATTTTTCACTCAGAGTAAAACAAAATTAAAAGATTTCGAGGACTTCGAAACACAAAAACTGGAGATCTACTGTGTTATCTGCCATCACAGACAGAAGAGATGGAAATGGAAAGGGCTGAGTGCTGCTTGTAGGTGTGAATATAAGCATAAAGTTATCACCACACTGGATTATTATGATTATTTTTATTATTAAAGCAGCTGAGAAGGCAATTGAGTAACACTGCCATTGCCATTAATTCTCTTCAGGGAAATCTCTGGTGAAAGCAGAAGGAAGTGGGTGGTGTCTATTGTTCTGTACAGTTACTGAGTTGCAAATGATTAATGTATCCAACCTGCAGGTTGGAATAACACAAAATAATCACAATAGCACTAAAATCTGTTGAAAGAGCAGCTACAAAATCGCTGCTGTGAGAATTCACAAAAAAAAAAATCTTCAAATGGCACCAGGAATTTGTAATTTCCAACTCCAAAGAAGTCCAGCAAACTCATATGAAAATATGTGATGTTGTTGTAATTGCTGTAAGCATATCTGAATTAATTCCATACTGCATAGCTTGCAAACCCCTCACTGTGATAGAGCAGCATCTTTATAAGCACATTCAAATGTGATGTTTGTTGCAAAGTTATGGGGAATTCTTAACTGTGAAACAGCCAAGGAGCAAATCAAACACTGAGCAGTTCAGCATTGGAGCATCAATTATACACTTGGTTAATTCTTGTGCATTTCTTTAGCAGTTCATATATGTTTGATGGTTTTACTTATCCTTCCAACAAGCCCATATTTCATCACTGCTGGGAGCCCATCCTCTCCTGCTATGCTGATTCTCCCCCCACATTTCTGGATAACATTTAGTAAGGTAGAAACGCTTTTCACTTCCTGCTTGTCAAGTTCCTGAAACCAAAATGACAACAGAAGCTTTAATGTACAGCTCTAGAAGAACCAGACAGTTAAGCAGATGCCTTTTTTGTTCTCCAAAGCCACCCTAATTGCAGCTTGAAGGAGAGATTTCACTCTTAAACTTTATTTCAGGCTTTCAAATCAAGTGCTGGCACAAACCAAGGCAAATGAAAGGATCTTTTATAGACTATTGCAATGCCAGTGCAGATGACCGGGATGCAGTGGTTACATTACCCGACACAGAAGCTTGTCTAATTTGTTGACAAACTGTTTGCTGCATTTGTAAGAGACATTCTCAGAGTCTTCTGTGGCCAGAAATTTCTCTAGTAACTGGGAATTTTTTTTTCTTGTAGCTTCATCAATTAACTTCTCCAACTGTCAACAATAAAACAAACAGCTGCATTACTGTATGCTCAGCACTGCTACAGATTTAACAGCATTTCATGCAGGTTTTCTAAAGAACAGGAAGCATAGCTAATACATTAGTCATGCAAATATTTATACACTTTTCCTCAACTGGCTTTTCTTTCCTCCTATTACAGCTAAATTCCTACATAAGTGTTCATTGTCTTCATGGCCCTTTCTTAGTACATTTAACATTTTCCTTTACCAAGTAACCTTAACTATTTTGCCCCCTCCCATTCTTTCTAAATCAATTATACCCAGGTGGCAGCATTTTGATATAAAGTATCACCTCAGTGCATTCATCTATGTCAAATGCAGATGATTTATTTTTATCAGTAATAATTTCCAGTTCCTCTTGCTTTTCACCCACCTGATTCACACCAACCTATGGCAAAGGCAAATTTCTTCCCACCCCACTGCACTGCCACACTGCAGATTTTACTTGCAATTGAGTACCTGAAGAAGTGCTTTAAGCCAGTAATTAAAACAACCAATACTCATGTTCTGATCCATCAGCACATACCTGCATCTCACTCCTGGCTGTCATTTTTGCAATTCACCAACTCAGCTGTGTAACAACAGAAACAATCATCATTCAGGCTTCAAACAGGTTCAACAAGCGCATCAGTAACTGGCCAAAATACACCAGAAATTCCAAAATTTGCCACTAGTGTAAATGCTGTATAAAGGCTATTTAAGAATTTAGACTAACTGGGGATATAAGGAAGCTTCAGAAGCAACAGAACTCCATAAGGGCCTCTCTATCAAATGTCAGATTAAATAATTTAACAAAAATATGATGACACAGCGAAAATGCCTTCTGTATTATACACACAGTGATGGGCTCCAAGGTGACCCTCACCAGCAAAAACAGCAGGCAAAGTATTTTCTGTAACATGTAAAAACCCCGATAAACTTGTTCATGCTTTGTATGAATTAATTCACATCAACCAATCCGTGGACAGTCAGCAATGGGCAATTTTAGTCTCCCCAGAAACTGCACAGACAAAGCAAAAGGAAACAGTGATTGGGAACAGGGAATAACTTCTGTGGAGCAGCAGCTAGGAGCACAGGCTAGCCTTTTATGTACTGCTAACCAACACAGAAATAACACAGATAGGGAGATTTTTAATTACTTTTTCCAGTAGAATACAAAACACGAGCCTCCGCTGAGGCCTGTGGGGCACCTCACAGCTCCGGTGTCTCCGGGCGGGTCGGACAAGGCAGAGGATGAAACACAAGCCCCCTTCTCCACAGAGAAGACTAGGACCCCCAAAACAGGTGTATCCGCTGAAATATCCCTCAGGAGGCTGGAATGCCCCTCAGGAGGTCTGGCCCTGTGAGGACACGGCCCCGGCACCTTCAGCCCCGAGCCCCCTCTCCCTCCTCCCCTCATCCCGGGCCCCCCCTCACCCCGGGCCCCCCCCCCCACCGCCCGCGCGCCACGAGCGCCCTTCCCCGCCGGCCAATCGCCGCCGGCGCCGCCGGCCGCCAGCCAATCAGCGTCCGGCAGGGCTGCGCGCGGGCCAATGGCGCGGGGCGGGGGGCGGGCTCTGCGCGCCCTCAGCGCGGGTGGCGGGAGTGCCCTCAGAGCACTGAGCGCTCCCTCTGCGTTACAAATTGGCTTTTAGAGCACTGATTTCAGCGCACAGACGGGAGTTAGTGGGCGTCAGTTTGCTGAACCAATATGTCATTCATGTGCTTCATTCAGAAACGTTCTCACTGCCATAAAGTGCCCCAGTTGGTACAAACGCACACTCAGGTGCTTATTTACCTGCAGTGGGTAAAGGGTGTTGACTGGCATTTGTGGTGTTTATTATCCAGAAGGAACTGAATAAATGCTTTAATGGAATCCAACAGTGCACTGCATAATATGCTTAAAGGAATCCAGCAGTGCCAAGGTGGGGCTTTACCTGTACTGGTGTGATACTGGTGTATCTATGGCTGGTGTATTTATATACTGGTGTATCTATTGCTGGTGTATCCATATATCGCCCAAATACAGGTGATAAAATTTATCACGAATCTCACATACTCCAGGGAAATACCGAGAATCATCTCCGTTCACACCTAGAATAAGCAGCCATAGCAGAGCATCCAGGAGAAAAATCACCTTTCACAGCAGGAAAAGCTGCAGCAATAGTAAATAAAATAGCACTGCTGACGTCCAAAATAAGGGAAATAAAATCTCAGTACTATAAAAGGCAAAAAAGCACGGTACACCAAGTATTTAAAATACCACCAGATGTCACTGTGATTCAAGAAAATGACAAGCGGTGTGAGAATTGGAGTATCTGCGGTGAGGAGTTGGGAGTGAGCAGTGCTGGGCATTTTGCAGGAGGAATGTCCTGCTAAAGCAATTTACTGCAGCATTAACGGCCCTCATATTTGCTGTTGGGACACTATAGAAGGCAGTGGGTGATCTGAAGCAGATCTGTAACACAGCTTTACTGAGAAACCCACTAGGGACAAAATTTTGCATGAGGAACTTGGAGCATCGCTAATCTTCTGTAAAAGTTGAATCCTGAATTTTGCTTCCATCACATGAAGCAGAAGTAATAAAAGCCAATTTGCATTCGATGCTTTCCCTTTACCAGTCCCATGAGCAAACACCCAGAGTGAGACTATCCAGCCTTACTCTACTTAGCAAAAGAGAAGTGAGGCAGAGTCCAGAAGTGGATCCTACACTTTCCCTCCTGCAGTAGGTACACTGAGACTACTTCAGTTCCTTTCTCATTCTCTAATTTAATCAGTCTATTTTATTTGCTTTAGCAGAAGGAAAGTCAGCAGGGAGCAGAAGTTTCACTAAGTTATGCATCAAACAGACCAGAGCAGTGAAATTATTTGGGCCACAGACATGGCAACTACACTTAAAAACTCCTGAGAGAATGGCAGGAAAATTCTTTAGGGTAGGGTAGCACTTTAGGGTACAGGGACCTTTCTTTGCTGCAGCACCAGAAACGTTGTGCTGGCCAAGGTGTTCAATCTTTAGCACAGCTGTCAGTTTATGTAGAACTCAGAAGGGTCAGGAGTGTTGATGCCAAGTTTTAATATCAAGTGTCAGCTGAGTTTCTTGCAGATCTGAGATCACCAGGAGAAAGCCAAGTCAGGAGAGAAGTCAGTACTAACATTACACTCATGTAATCACTCAGACTTGCTGTTCTGAGTCTTTATCAGCTGCAAGGTACACAGAGCACTGTACTGAGCACTGATAATACACTACATTAGGTGCTGTAGTTTCAACTGACTCTGTATGCATATAACTATCTTTACAAGTTAGAACTGAATTTTTTCGTTGTAAAACAAATACAAAGAAAATATGAATTCGAAACTAAATGTAAAAATAACACCTATATTAAAAATAGCACTGACAACCTATAAGAGTACCATTGACAAAAACAACATAAAACTGTGAAAAGCTTTTATTTCAATCTCTTGTATTACAATAGCCATAGTTTTATTATTGCTTTTTAAAATTAACTACAAACTTTGCAATTTTAGAACTGCTACACCCTTTGTCCAGCATATGTGCTTTATTGATATCCTGTGTAATGTACTTTATTCTGGACAAGACATTTAATCACAAAAGACAACCCCCTTTTCATTTACAAGGATTTCATATGTTTCTTTAAAAAAACATGCTTGGCAGAACCTTGAAACTGTGGGCTACCAGACATTCATTTATTGTATGACAATAATAGATATGTTTTTAAAAAGTGCATTATGTGGCAATAACCCTTGTGAAGAATTCACTTGTACAAAATCCTCATGATAAGGGAAGTGCTTGATTTTGAACACAGTGCAAGCAGTCAAGTTGTCCTGAGAAGATACAGAGGTGATCACAAGTTTACTTTCATGACAAGTGCTTATTACCACTACTTAATGGCTTAATCCCATTTTTGCTAACCAGAAGCCTTTTGATGCTCATTTGCTGAATGTGACAAGAAAACCTAAGTGCCTGTTTCCTCTCTGATGTGACAGGTGCCAGCACTGGTGTGAACGTTTAACAGCTTAAGCCGGAGATCACTCTCAGCTCAGCTGCTCCACTGACAGCCAGCAGTGCCAGAGAGCTGCACTGTCAGGAGCTGCTACTGCCACTGCTGCTCCAGCAGGGCAAGGCAAGAAAAGAGAGCAAAGGGAAACTTGGAATAATGCTTTAGTGTTTAGTGTTCAAGCTTTTGCACACGCCAGTGCCCTGAGAGGTGGCGGGAGACAATACAAGCCCAGCTCAGACTGCTGAGACATTCATTTCCTACCCCTCTGCACTGTGGTACATCTGGCACTACCCTTTATGCTGAGAGCCTCAGCTTTGCTTAACCTGTCCTTGCCTGAGATAACATTCAGATCTGACAGTTGGTGGCACATGACAGTCTCTCCCAGAAGATGGCAACAGCATCTTTCTGCCAGGAAGCCAAGGATTGCTGAGCTCCTGTCACGTACCAGAGGGATTTTTAGGGTGTGCTGGGTTTGCTGATGGAAGAAATACAGTAATTTGGGAGGGAAAAGGACAGCGGAACAATACTTTAAAATAGTGCCTTTTATTCAGCACAGCTGCTCTTGTGTGTGTGCATATCCACTTTCTTCTTACTTCACTGACAAGTACGTAACTTTGCCTCCAGGGACTTAACAACAGTGGATAAACTTTAATGGAATTTCCAGCAAGTTTCATCTAAGTGTCCACAATTGCAAATCCTGCCACTAAAGATTCTCCTGCAGTCAGGAAAGGTGTGTTCCAGCTCACCTCACTTGACACCCGCTCTGGCATGATTTGGCACAATCTGCACTAGTGCTGAGATGCAGAATGGCAGCACAGTTGTTCTCTCCACACTCAGCAGAGGTGATACAGTTTGTCACACCACAGGCAGTCAACTACAGGGAAAGCATCTCCATTTCTAGGGAGAATATAGATTGACTAGTGCAGATATTGTGTGTCCTATACTGTCTTGTCATTTAATCACAGGAAGGCCAGCATTCCTAAGGCAAAATTCCTTACAATCAGACAACGCCCCTTCTTACAGTTACCATCTTTTGTGCCACGTGAGGAAGACCAGACTTACAGTTCCATGCAAGAAGTTGCTGCCCGATTGGTCACTGCTCTAACCCAGGCACAGAAAACAAGAGGTGGATTTTAAAGCAGGCAGCACTTTGCCCTCTGACAATCACACCTCAGCCTCACCTCCTCCTTCAAAACAATTTCCACCTAAATGTTCAGCCTCACAGTGCTCCAGCAAAGCAGCCAAGGCAGTCAATACTCAATAGTTCCAAATAGGACTGAATCCTCCGAATACTCTGCAGGAGGTGCTCAGCAGCTCATCAATCTTCATTGGCTCCTCCGAGAGCCAAAGCCTAATTGGAATGAGGCAGCTTCCTCACTTGAAATCCCAGCTTTGCTGAATGGGTACCACAACAAAGGAGCAACAATAAGTTGCCAGACAAATTAATTTTCTGGGGGTTTCTGCACTTCCAGAATTACTCAGAAGATGTTTTGGGCTAAAACAGAATTGGTCACGGGTTCCTTACAATTGTGATTTCAAAACCTACTTGTGATTTCAATAAATAAGCACCAATCCAAAATAACATGCCCGAATAAGTGGGCCTGATTTTCACAGTACAGTCCTAAAAAGCAGCTTTTCTAATGCCTCCAGCCAGCCAGCTCTGAAAATTCATGCTACCATATAAAGCTAAACTTTCCATGCACTTATGAATATGTCTGAAAACAATTATGGATAATCTTTTGCTCAACAGAATCAAGCCTGTTTCCAATCCTAAACCACACTAAATCCACAGAATTAAAGTAGTGGTGCAAGACTCATGGGAAGATGGTGTGTAACAGTGTTCCTGTGCTCTCCCTGCAGCAGAAGGGATTCTGTTTATGGGTTTGTGTAAGTATTAGTTTACAAGTAAAATCATAATTTTGCTTTGAAGTTCCTGCTTGTGCTGCAAAGGCTGCAGTCTTGGGAGTTTTATAATGAGAAGTAGTTAAATAAAGAATTCAAAGGTCCTGCTGCAGTTGTACTGGGACACTGGGGAACAGGGAGCCAGGATTCAGAGTTCTGGCATGCTACTCCAAGGCTCTGGAACCTGCTCCCTATGCTGTCTATTTTTTTTTTCCTTTTATATATTTATATCATATCCATTTCTTAATTTATAATTTTATCAGAAACACTGGTAAAATCATGAGCATTCACACAGTGTTTTGAGATCTTTAACTCCAACACAAGTCCAGAATTGCTCGTTTCCCTTAGTAAATACAGGTGCACCAGGAAAGGAAAATTTCCCTGCCACTGCCTGGAGAAAAACCTATTTGGGCACCATCTGAAAAAGATGAGAACTTCCCCAGGAAGGTCTGCCTTACGTTTTGAT